TCAGTGATTGAGTCCTTTTATCGAGCTTTCTTGAGGAGCAAATATATGTCAAAAAGCCCCCTTTGCAGATTAGATCTTCAACCACTTTTTCTGTAGTTTCTTGGTGTGCTTTCTCTAGCCAAGCTTCAACTTCCTTCTTTGCAATCTTCCCTGGCTGCCTAAGTTGAGCATGCAGTACTTCTTCAACGTCTTGCCGTCGGTGGTTCAGCTGTGTTTGCATTTCTTTGAATTTATTGACATAATCATTGTGACATATCTGATACTTGAAATATTTCTTAACTGTAGGTACAACATCCTTCACAATATTCACGACTGGTTCTATGACATCCATTAAAGAGTTCCTGCATATATGAAATTGTTGGATATAAGCTAATTGTGCCTTAAATTACCTTAGGAAATGGATCACGCAATCTATAAGGAAAGACAAAACAAGGAAAAGAATAATAAGTATTTGAGAGAAAAATAAATCGAGTCGGAAATTAATGGTGGAAGTGCCATGATTGACTAATTTAAATATTTAGTTTTGATAAACTTAGAAACTATTAAAAATTAAAATTTTATTTAAAATAAATTTTAACACTTATAATAACAAATATGAACTTATTTAATATGCTAAAATTATTTTTTATTTTTTATAATCTCACAAATAACTTTTTATTCAAAGTTATAAAATATATAAAAATAAAAATAAAAAAACTAAAAAGACAACTATATTAAACTAAACCTAGAAAAACATTGACTTTGTTTATTAGTCTTGTGTTGTGTTATGCTATGCTATAGCCATAGGTCTTATTGTCTTGTAATAACTCAAAAATATATAAAATATTAATTAAAATTAGTAAACATTATAAGGAATAATTAAAATTAATAAAAAATAAAAAAATAATAAAAACCAAAAAAAACATAGAATTACAGTCATAACCTCGCACTCTCAAAGGATACCCAACTTAGAAATTGATAGTGAAACAAATGACTAATTTAAGTAGATAAGCTCACCTGTCTGCTATGTTAAATAAATGAAAAGGAAAAGACTAATTAAATTTGACTCCTATTTATTTTATTTTATTTTGGTTGTACAATAAGTGACAATTTTCTCCTATCCCTTACCCCACCTCACCCCCACGTGATTTAAACTCAAAATCTTTTATTTTTAATAAAAAAAATTACTATTAAATTATTTAGGTAGTTGGCAATTGTACTACTGTTCTTAGTTAAGAAATGATGTGTATTTGTGTAATGCTAAACAAAAATAAATTAGGTAGTAATATTTTTGGATTAGTAATATTTAAATATAATTAAAATAATGTCATTTGTAATTATTTATCATTTTACTTTTATTTTCTTAAGTGTAATTGTTAATTGATTATACTGCATGATTTCTAATGTTTGATTCAATCATAGTTAATAATTTCAAGTTATATTAATTATCTTTTTGTCTAGTTCTATACCTATTCTATGATTATTTGTTAACTTTGCCATCAAATATTTAACCTTGGGTCTAAGGTCTATGTTTATTTTTAAGTTAATCCCATATAAGGCAAATCCAGATTTGTATACTTAATTTATTTTATTTTGTTTTATTTTGATTCACAATTTAATTTATTTGCACAAATCGCCGTATTTCTAAAAGGGCTTTAACCTTAATGTATTATTTGAATCAATTTATGATTTTTTTGGTTTCTGTTTACTATTATGTTTGTTATTACTCTTTTATTTTTTAATTTTTTAATTTTAAAATTTGGGCATTTTACATATTCAAGAATAGGACTTGAGTAATTTCATTAGAAGTACTAAAATTAATTTCATCTTTTTCTCCTTTATTATTATTTTTTTATACATGTTATGTTTTATCATTGTTGTATTTTGTTTTTCATTGTTTTTAGAATACTTTTTATTTGTAATCTATGGATTATTTTAATAATAAAACATTAATCATAGATGTTGAACTACCCATTTTAATTATTTGAAAGAAATTATTTTTTTAACTTATAGTTTTGCACACTCTAACCTTAAAATCTGGCTGCGCCTCTGGGTGAACCCACTTCTGAGTTGAAGCTGGCTACGCCTCTGGGTGAACCCACTTCTGAGTTGAAGCTGGCTACGCCTCTGGGTGAACCCACTTCTGAGTTGAAGCGGGATACACCTTTCCGTGCATTTTCCTTGATCAGTGGACTCAGTGGCGGAGCTAGGGGAGGGCATGGGCCCTGGTGAAGGCAATTTCTCTTGATCGGTGGACTCAATCTCGGATCTGAGAGGGAGCATGGGCCCCTGCAAATGCATTTTCCCTTGATCAGTTGACTCAGTGGCGGAGCTAGAGGAGGGCATGGTTTCCAATAAAAGCACTTCCTCTTGACCAGTGGACTTAGTGGCAGAGCTAGGGGAGGTGCTGGGCCTAAAATATTAAAAAATGTTAAGTTTACCTATAAAATAAAAAAATATAGTACATATGTTAATCCTGAGGTAAAAAAAGCTAATCTAACTTAATTGTCAATTATATTGTAGTTTAACCACCGACTAAATGCATTATTTCATTTTTTTCAATTCAAAGTGTAACCCTACCGTTAAAACACCTTTTATAGTAATAAACTTTTAATTGCTTTGATTGTGACGTTCTTCAGCAATTACTTATTATTGTAGTGGCTAATTGTTTTGGATTTGGACTTTTAATTACTTATCATTTAATTTTTAATTTTCTTAGTTGTAATTGTTAATTAATTATACTGTCTGATTTCTAATGTTTGATTGAATCATGGTTAATTTCAAGTTATATTAATCATCTTTTTGTCTAGTTCTGTACCTATTCTATGATTATTTGTTAACTTTGCCATCAAATATTTAACCTTGCGTTT